GAACCTAAGTCTTTAAAGTTCAAATAGTTAGTGCTCTTCCCACAACCCACTCTGTTTAAGCAACGTTACAGTCCATTTCCAAAGGGCAAATCATAAAACTTGTAGTTTACCTCTAGCCAAACATATTTTAGAAAACTACCTTCAATAATTATTTATTGGTGATTACAAAATTAGCAAGTTCACCTTTACATCAAAGCATGGCTAAAAGAGCACTGGCCTGTGGTTGGAAAGAATTGATCCCAATTTCATATGTACAATTAAATTAGCTGTGTGACCTTAGGTAAAATGTATGAATTTACCTCCAAGGCCTCTTCAAGAGAAAATACTGACTCCTCAGAGACATCTGACTCATTCAAATTACCAGATCTTTTTTAAAGCACTGTTGGCCACAACCCATCCTGGAAAAGGATCCTAACAGAGTAACTTATAGAATTGCCATATCTACATGGTGATAAGAATTTTTCTCCTCTCGCTAGTCCTAGTTAAGGCAGGGAGCATGAAAAGGCATTCTAAGAGAACAAACACTATCTCAGGGCTTTTGTTCGTGCCTAAGAACTGCCAAGGTTGGGAAAGTGTTTAGCTTAAATATTCTCACATACGTTGAGACAGACAGCTCTACAAGTAGAAAAATTCACCTTTTAGATAGAGTAGTCAATTTCTTGACCAAGCTGGCAGGCTCTTAAAACAGAAGGACCACATGGAAGCCACAAAGCAACACTTTTCCAATAAAACTGCATGTGTAAGCAAATTCTCGAAACAAAGTATTCATAGCTGTCCTAAAATTTTGGTTCAAGTATCATTCAAACAGGGAATTTGCATCATTTATGAAAAATAGCACTTATATGGAACTGTACACGGTGGGTTTTTTAACCATTCAAATCAATTTTCTAACTTTCAAATATAATAAGTACAGTTACAAGGCAGCTCAAAGAAAACATTTCTGTGAATTAACATAATTGAAATCTAGATACTGTGCCTTCATTTAAAATTTTATATCATGTAAATAAAACATTAACAATAAAATGGAATTAATTTTTTAATAAAAACAAAGATCTTCATATACGAAATATTTTAACTTACACAAGCACTAAGTTAATAAACTATTGACAGCATTGATCATTGATTTTTCTTCTTTCACAGTTAATCACTGCTATTTTGAACCAACTGGGGGTAAGTCCCTATTTATTTTTATGCTATTATAAATTACAAATTTTCTTAACAAACTGAAGGTAATTCTTATTAATTCTTTTATTTTTAGGGCTTCTTTGGGGTAAGATTTTATTTCTATGATTATATTGATAAAAGGTAAGTGACATTAAATTTCAGGAAAGGTAAAAATAACACTTCTTAACTGAAATAAAAACATATGGCAGAATCAAATCCAATTGGTCTATCCAAATTAGAACTCATGAGTTTTAAACTCAATTCCCTCCAAGATCATTAGATCAAAATTTCTGCAGGTCTACAATGTTCTTTTCATAATGCCCATGGTATTTCACAAAATATTTTACAGAAATATATGCAATATTAGGTTAAGAAATTTCAAACAGTAAGCTTATCTCAGGCTTATTTTTGTCTTATGGACAATTCATAGTTAATAATGAGAAATGCCTACTATGACACTACCAAACCTAGAAATGGCTGACCTAAGGCAAAGTAACACATTTCCTTAACACAAAAGCATCAGCTTGCTTGGTGCAAAGCCTACAAACCTTGAGACTTCTACTTTGACTCTCATTCAAATTTGATTTCATTTAAAATATATACCAAAAAAAAAAAAAAATGTAGAGACCAAAAAAAAAGGTAAAAAGTATAACTCTTTTTCAATAACTGAACTAATACATCAATTAAAATATATACAGTATGTATTTATTTTGATCTACCTTGAGATGAGCTGATGAATCAAAACATCCTCAATCCCAATTTTAAAAAAGAATCTGGATTTTCACCCAGTTTTCCTTCTAACATATTTCACTGCCCTGAAATGCTTATTTAGTACTTTTTACCACTTCAAATACCTCTATCAGGCCATCAGAGGTCAAGTGGGAAAAATTAAGCTCTATGTGGCAGACAAGACAGTACAGGATTCAACTCATCAGCATTTAAATGTAACAGAATCACATTATTTTCCAGCCCCAACACACACGATTATAACAATATTAATGCATCACCAATAAAATAACCATAAAATGAGAGACACAGGTAGAGGTGAAGAAGGAATTATGGTGAAAATGCTTTCATGTAATAACTATAACCTTTATTATTATTTTGACAGAAATAACTCTTCCACTACTATGCCAGAATATATATGGTTAGTAAAATCTTTAAATATCTTTAAAGCACTATTATACATTTTAAAATACTTTTATCGTAAGAGTTTAATTGCTTAAGATTGTGTCCACATTGGTAAATTAGTAATATGATAAAAGTAGGTGTAAATAAGATAACCTTAATTACAAATGGTTTCTTCAAAGAATATATTTTAAACTCAGTTTACTTATTAAATAAATTGACTTTATTTACTTAATACTTAAAAATCATACAAGATTCATAACCCTAGTAAGGAATATAACAGATAGAGAATGCGTTTTGGAACTAGGCTCTGTCCCTTACTAAATAAAACCTTGGGCAATCATTCTAAATACCAATTTCTACATCTGTGAAATGGGAATAATACCACCTAAGTTCACAAGATTGTTGTGAGGATTAAGTAATATAATACAGATATTCAGTAAATGGTATCTGTTATTGCTACTTATCTTACTAAATGTCTCTAAAAGAAAAACAAATTCCTTATATTTAAAACCTAAGTAAATATAAAGAGAATATTACCCAGAGATATAGGAACAGATACTCCTCTATGAATGTTTTAAGCTAACATTTTAATCTGGGTTTTCTCTATTATAGATGGTGCTGGATATTTACAGTTATCAGAAGATTATCTACTTCTACCTTATCTGTAATTGATAGTACTTTCATCATTTTGCAAATGTTCCAGTGAAAACTCCAAAATACCATAAAGAATTTATTATCTATAGACCATGTGCTTTAGTCATACTTTAAATAAAATTTTAATGTCACCTAATATTTTTATTAATGTCAGTACACTAATGTCACCTAATATCTTTATTAATGTCAGTTCAAATGTATCTGTTAAACGTGTCATTTTTTAGGGAATTGATCAAACTTTCTTAAGAGCCTTTGTAACAGTAGTTTCAATTTTAGAGAATTCTATTCAGTGCCAGGAAGAAGCAATTTGTTCCTGCCAAACAATAAAAGTAGAAGCCGACTCTTTCATGCTGGAAGGCAGACATCCAGCTTCTCACCCATTGAGCAGGTCATCCTCATCAAGTATAAGTCCCTTACTATATACCCTAGAGACCAGGGTCTCATGGACTTTAAAAAATTAATACTGTACATAAATCTTATATTACTCTTCTAGGTGGGTTTCAGGCATCATGAAATCAAACATTCTAATGTTTCTCAGCAAAACTAAGGGGAAAAAAGCCTGTCAGTTCAATTCAGGTTTACCACCAAAGGAATTCTGACATCAATTCAACCACCATAGGAGTTCTGACATCAAGTCAACAATCACACACACACACACAAACACACAACCCCACCCCCCCTCACTTTTGTCTTTCCTTAGCCCTAGTTCCGCTCTCTTGCTACAAAGTCTAATACCTTTTCTGAATATCTGAAGAAAACCACCATGTCCCTACCCCCTAAACCTCCTCTTCTTCAGATACCCCATCATCTATAGTCCAACTGGAATGAAGATGGAATGAAGTACGGACTGAAGAGTCCCTATTTCAGATTGACAGGGTTTAATATCATGGGACTTTCCAATGGATATACTTATTCAGAATGTGATACACATGTCCACTGAGACAAGATAGTGTTGTTTTTCTTTCCTCTTCCTTGCTTCCAAGAGCCCCCAGAACACCAACCCTTTCCTTTCCTCTGGGATGTATAATGTCAACTGTGCATCTCTCAAAAACCTACTTCAATTCTCAATTTGCCCTTCCTAAAAAAAACCACTTTTACTCACAAAGACCTCTCTCTGTCCCTGCCTGACTTCAATTCCTTTCTGAACATCTATTTTTAATTGATTTATGACATACAATAGTTACAGTAGAGTGAAATCAACATATTGATTTAAATTACTAATTTCTTGGTATAGAGCTAGGGCTGGGTCTGGGAAAATAGAATAGTTTAATCAGGCCTCTTCGCCCTAGGTCTGGTTGGGTGTAGTGCAGCACATTCTTTGTAAACAAATGGTGTGGGGGGGGTGGAGTTAGTGTGCATGCACACCAATGTATCTTTTTAGTTTTGCTGCTATTGTGTATTCTTGAGTTTGTGAAGCAGCAGCTCGGCAGAGCTCACATCAAAAAATAGAGCATGTTTACTTTGCTGGCAGCTGCTCAGTTTTTCCTTGGACTTTGCCAGTAGCAGTCAAGTTTTGAGTTCTCTATGGACTGCTTAGCTCTTAGATGTGTGTGTGCTGAATAAAGACTAGTCTTTCTTCAACCAAAGCTCCAAGGACCTTTTTTCCAGTTACCTAGCTCGTACACCTGCATGTGAAGAGTTTGCGACCCAGTCTGGACAACAGGCTTGAGGGGCCTTGAGCTCCAGACCCAGCCCTAGCTCTACACTTGGACATATTTTTCAATTCAAAATTTTTGAAAATTACAATATGAGCTCTTGTTTATTAATCTTGATCTTTACTGACTAAAAGAGTGACAGAAATTTCCTCATAAACTGATGACCCTAAAGTCAAGAATACACAAAGTTTCCACTTTTGAAATCAGCTTCAACAAGATCATATAAAGCAAAATGTGAAGCAAATAATTTAAAGAAAAATAAGATCAGACATTAAACTATACAGCCTATGGTGCTGCTCCTTCTAAAGGAGCTTGATGAAGGAACATCCTTCAGGCCTCAGAAGATTACTGGGGGAAAAAATAATTAACAAACAAGAACTAGATGGAAAGCAGAAGTTATGGCAGATCAGGAATTGATCTTTATTACGATTATAATTCTTCAAGAGCATCAGTTGTTTGAATTTGATTTAAACCATGTTTAAATACAATACATACAAAACATGACAATTTATATTCCTTTTGACCAGAAAACTGAAAATTCTATCTTCCTTTTCATATTTACTCATTTTACTCCAATGCAAAACCTTCTGCATGCAAATGTTTTGAAAAGTGAATAAAATAATTTCCAAGTGATCTACTCTGCCCTATTTACAGTATGAATTCTATGATATCACCTTCTTTTTAGCACATGCTCCTTTATTGGCCTTTGGCTTATGTGGAGACCACGAGCTATAACCCATGGCAGTCAGTTTCAGAGTCCTCGCTCCAGTGTGCATCTCGTTTCTCTGCCACAAGCTTGATGAATTGAGAGTGACTGGCATAAAGCTTGAGTTTTTCACTGATGTCTACCCATTTCACTTTTCCAGCATCATCTCCAGCTTCTAGAGTAAGATTATCCATTATCTCACCTGGTTACCAAAGAAAAACCATCAAGAAAAAGGAATTCATTTACTCATTTCTTTTTCAGCATAACTCTGTCTTCAAGTACTTTTACTAAAAATAATCATAAATCATCATTGTATTAGGTGGCCAAGTGAATTAAAAATTAGAACATTCCAAAATGCTCAAATTTCAACCAAGTTCCTAAATTTTAGGTAGAGGCACCAATAAGAAAGCTTTTCTCTTTAAAAAAAATAAGAATATTATCCCTAAAAAAAAAGATATGTTAAATGTGAGTATGAAGCCTAATATCAAAAGAAATTCCAGAGGGATTAGAGACTTAAATGTAAAAAAAAAAAGGTGACTCACTTTATAGTCTTAAGGTAAGTAGATTTTTCTAGGCACAATACCAAACCAGAAACCATAAAAGAAAATATTTATAATTTTATTTATAAATTGTACAAATACATTTATTAAAATATTTCTAATTATAGTTATCAATAAATAAAAAATAATTGCTCTCAATCATTGTTAGGAATGTAAATAGCATATTTATATAGGACAATTGGGCAATTTTTATCAGATTTTAAAAAATAAATGCTCTTTGATGAGCATTCATTCAATAAATATCAGAGCACATCTTATGCATCAGACTGTATCAGGCTCTGAAGATACAATAAACAATCCAGCAATTCCACTTTGAAGAACTTATCCTAAGGAATAAAGAGACAAGCCTGTTAAAGTATTCAAGGTAATTATTTAAGTGTTTTTAAATAGTGTATTTAAACAATATTCTTTTAAAAATGGATATAAATGATGGTACAGATACACACTTGACTCCCATATATTCATTAAAAATGAAGTCAGTCTACATATGCTGACATGGAACGATGTCCAGAATACATTTTTAAATGAAAACATCAAGCAACAAAATAGAAGGTGCAGTATAAGCAAATTTAAGTTATACAAACTGGCTTCTAAGTTACATTTGCACATTTCTTCTAAGTTCTGAGTACAAAAAGGATGAACTCTCTCAATATCTTGGTTAGAGAAGTTATATAGAAAAAATAGAAACAGTGCTGGGACTTTCCCCTAAGTTTAACAAGCAAAAGCACAGAATGTAAAAGTGACAGATCTGGCTCTACTCCATTTTATAAGTGAAAAATCAGAGTCCAAGAGGACAAAGGATTTGCACAAGGTTACAGAGCTCAGAAGTCATGAGTAGAACATTCAGTTCTCTGATAAGGTGACCCCACTTCATTATGCTACAGAAATAAAACAAAATACTTAGAATATCATCCAACTTAGCAATAAAATATGTTCTGAGAGAAGCCATTCAATGTGTAAATTAAAGATTGTAACTAATTTTTAAGATAACATATTTCCCCTCTGTTTTGGTAATAACAGATTTGACTCCCCCCAACAAAAATTTAAATCTATGGACCAGAAAAAGCATTCATGTAAAATTTTTTCAGTACTTAGAATATTTTTTGTATTGTTCTATGTCTTAATAATGCATGCTTATTATAAAAATATTTCAAACATTAAGACAGATATAAAACCTATTTCCTTTATCATTGCCATACTTCCCACTCAAATCCCCAGTTGTTTCTGTTTTTGTTTTACCCAAATGGAATCATACTATATAAATAATTTGACAACTTTAAAGCACATAATTTTAGCCCACAAATTTAACCTTAATTTCAAATGCTACCTACAGATTAAAGAAATTCAGTCACTCTCTGTGATATTGTGAAATATCATGAAATATTGTAAAAATATGCACTTGATCTTCATACCCATCTCCTGACAGACAACTCCTAAAATCCTTAAAACCTCCGGTGATATGAGTCATTTGGTATGCTGATGATAGCTGTCAGCCTCTAGGCAACTTCAGGATGGGGGCTGGTTACAGAAAAGACAAAGGTAGGACTTCCAATCCACCCCACAACCTCTGGGAAGGGAGAGGGACTGAAGGTTAAGCTAATCATCAATGGCTAATAATTTAATCAAATTACGCCTATGTGATGAAGTTTCCATAAAAACCAAAGAGAACTGGGTTCAGAGAGCTTCCAGAGAGCTGAACACATACATGGAGCTTCCTGGAGGGTGGTACAACTGGAAAAGGCCCTTTCCCCCATACGTTGTCTATGCATCTCTTCACCTGTATCTTTTGTAATATCCTTTAGAATAAACCAGTAAAGATAAGTATGTGTTTCCCTGAGTTCTGTGAGACATTCAAGCAAATCGAACCCATGGAAGGGGTTGTGGGAAACTTGATTTAGAACTGGTTGGTTAGAAGTTCCAGAGACCTACACTTGGAAATAGCATGTAATGTGGGTGGCAGTCCTGGGGACAGAGCCCTCACCCTGTGCAAGTGACACTATCTCCAGGTAGATAATGTCGGAATTGAACTGGAGGACACCCCGCTGGTGTCCACTGAAGAACTGCTGGCTTGCTCGCCAGAGGGGAGAAATCCCCACACACTTTGTCACAGAAGTTGGTCTTCTGAGTTGCTGATGTGCTGTGGAAGCAGAGGAAAAACAGTGTGTTTTTCCCACTCACTGGCGATAACACTTTTGAGGCTTTCTTCTGTGTATTTTTAATACCAAGAAATTTGCTTTTATTTAAACACAGTCCTACAATCAATAGTTAATTGGGCTGTGGTGCCAAATATTCCAATTTAACCATGCCCTACCAGGCTCCTTGGCTTAAATTGATTCTCCAATCCCAGTCAGATTAATAAATATTAGTATAAAATTACCTGTTTCATCATGGTAGTTCACAGCTTCTGTCTCCATCCATGCGTTATCAGTGTTTCGAGGATCATCAACATATCCCTTATATATCTATTTTTAAAAGGAGGCAGATTCAAAAAAAGTCTAAGTGAAAAAGTCTAGGGTACAGCAGAAGCATTTACCTTCACTAGATTCAGAAATGTAAATATCCTGTTGCACAACAATATGAACATACTTACATTACCAAACTGTAAGGTTAAAAATGATTAAGATGGTATATTTTATATTTTTTCCAAAATTAAAAAAATGTAAATATCCTGGAACCTGAAATGCAGCATTCCATATGTGTGCTTTAAATTTCCCAGGCAACAATATTCTCTTTTGAGGAAGCTTTAGAATTCACAAAACCCTCAACACCTCAAGACTCTAATTTCAGAATTTGAGAATAGTCAGATTTGAGCCACATAATTTTTCAAAAGGATCCATACTTTAAGTATTTCTCTGTTTTAATAACTTCTATAATTATAGTTTCAGAAATACAAAGGTAGATCCTTCTAGTTAAACAAAGGAGATCTATAAATAAAACTAAAGATTAATATTTAAGGTATTAATACATAAAAAGATTTGGATCTAGTTATCTAACACAAATGTGACCCCGACAAATCTAGACAATATAAATAACTAAGAAATCCCAATTCTGGAAAGAAACTAAAGCAATCCAAACAAAAGCAACAAAAAAGAAAAGAAAATCTATTCTTTTCCTAATTATTAGTGCACATATAAGATATTTTTAAAAAATCATGGAGGGTATATAGACAAAACAGACATGAGACAAATAGTTATCAGAAAAACTCTGTATAACCTAACTTAAAATGTAAATGTCCTTTCAGAGAAAGCTGAATTCATGCATGCAAAAAAAAACGTTAAAAGGTTTTCTGGGGCCGGCCCAGTGATGCACTGCTACAGTGCGCCGCTTGGCAGCGCGGCGGCGCTCCCACCGAGGGTTCGGATCCCACATACAGACCGGCCGCTCACTGGCTGAGCGAGGTGTGGGCGCAACACCGAGGGTTGCGATCCCGTTGCCGGTCCCGGTCCCGGTCCCGGTCCGGTACGGGCGCACAGTCTAAAGAAAAACTAAGAGGAAAAAAGTATTTTAATAAACAATAAAGGAGACTGGCTGGTTAGCTCAGTCGGTTAGAGCATCGTGTTGATAACACCAAGGTTCAGGGTTCGATCCCTGTTACTGGCCAGCTGCCAAAAAAAAAAAAAAAAAAAAAGATACAATTGACCTAAAGTTGGGCTATAAAATTTTTAAATAGAAATCTATTTACAGTGAAGATCTACAACTTAATTGTTTTTTGAATATGTATTCTAAACATACAAATATTCCACTGGATCTATGAGATTTCCAAGTGAACTTTAAGTAATTCCCATTAATCCACAGGACTAAATGGCTTCTAAGAATGACCATGTCTTACCACCAGATGTTCTTGGCTGAAGAGTTTGTGCAATTGTTCCTCTATTTCTTTCTTTTCAGCACTGGATTTCTGTAAGGAGTTAAGAGCTTCCTCACCAAATTCTCTTTTCAGTGTGGCACTAATCTTCTCTCCTGCATCCACCATCCCCTAAGGGTCACATTTTTTTAAAAAAAGTAAAAAGCTTTGATTCATTTAATAAATATTTATTGAATAGTACAGTAGACATTTATTAGTCTATCTTCCCATAATAGTGATCCCATTCCTCTGTGTTATGCTCTTCTCTAGGTCATTTGTTTCTAATAGAAGCAACCAATAAAGGTACCTCATATATTTGGCCACAGTGATTGCTCCAAGGTTAGCCTTTGGCAAACTAAGCCAACCAAACTCATTTCCTGGTACTTTCCAAACTCAAACTAAGGAAAGAAGTCCTGGAGGCAAGAAAGAATACAGCAAATTGATTCTCACCCCACTGTTCACGCCATTCCAGCTACACTGACCCCTGCTCTCCATTCCCATTAATCCACAGGACTAAATGGCTTCTAAGAATGACCATGTCTTACCACCAGATGTTCTTGGCTGAAGAGTTTGTGCAACTGTTCCTCTATTTCTTTCTTTTCAGCACTGGATTTCTGTAAGGAGTTAAGAGCTTCCTCACCAAATTCTCTTTTCAGTGTGGCACTAATCTTCTCTCCTGCATCCACCATCCCCTAAGGGTCACATTTTTTTAAAAAAAGTAAAAAGCTTTGATTCATTTAATAAATATTTATTGAATAGTACAGTAGACATTTATTAGTCTATCTTCCCATAATAGTGATCCCATTCCTCTGTGTTATGCTCGTCTCTAGGTCATTTGTTTCTAATAGAAGCAACCAATAAAGGTACCTCATATATTTGGCCACAGTGATTGCTCCAAGGTTAGCCTTTGGCAAACTAAGCCAACCAAACTCATTTCCTGGTACTTTCCAAACTCAAACTAAGGAAAGAAGTCCTGGAGGCAAGAAAGAATACAGCAAATTGATTCTCACCCCACTGTTCAAGCCATTCCAGCTACACTGACCCCTGCTCTCAGGACATGCAAGACACACTCCCACCCGAGAGCCTTTGCAACTGCCATTACCTCTGTCCAGGGGCTTTTCCCCAGATATCTACATGGTTCACTCATTTACCACCTTCAGATCTTTACTCAAATGTCACCTTCTCCAGGAGGCCTTCTCTAACTGCCCTATCTAAAATTAGAAAACACTTCCTAGTCCCCTGACTTATTTTTAGATTTTTTTCTTAGTAATTATTCCCTTCTAACATACAACATATCTAATTTATTTATATATTGTTTGTCTCTCCCACTGGAATGTGGGCACCAAAACACAGAATGTTTATGTTGCTCTGTTATATCCTCAACGTCCAAAACATTAGCTGACAAAAGGAAGATACTCAAAATACACCGATTAGGTGAATAGCTCTCCAAATGATATCAATGATACAGTTCCCAAATTGATCAGAATTTCAAATGACACTAAAAATGTAAGACCCTATGATGAAATCATTATTATGTTATTGCACTCAGTATAAGGGAAGTTTGACTATTTGGCTCACAGAAATTAGCTTAAGTGTTTATCCGAGTCAGATGAGATCTTTATTTCTATTCTATTTCTATCCTACAAAGAAAAAAGTCATTTTTGCTGTTCTGAAATAGGACCCAATATTAATGATGCTTTTTATATACCAGGTGTTTATAAACTATTTCTAGTAATCCTGTGAATTACATATGATTATCTTTATTTATTCATTTACTATTTATTTTTTAGCAGTTGGCCAGTATGGGAATCTGAACCCTTCACCTTGGTGTTATAACAGATTATCTTTACTTTAAAGATGAGGACTTGAATTCCATATCACCAAGGTGCAAGTGGAAAGGCCAGAACAGCCTAGATCTAACTCCAAAGACCATGTTCTTTTCCAAGGGTGTTAGAATTAGACTCAGATACCACCAGCCTTGTATTACAGCCTAAACTTGTTATTATGATGACACTTTACTGCAACAATGAGAGACAAAAAACGTACTAATTGAAGTACAAAGAAATGGAGCATAGATGAAGTAGAAAAGATCCACATACAATAATCTTGTAGTAAAAAAAGCAACTAAAAAGAACTTAAACATTAATTTAATACTCACCCCTGGGATTGCCCATTCTCCACAATCTTTCCTTTTTATTGCAACAAACTGTAAGATATGTTTCCCAGAAACAGGGTGGGTGATTTTATTTCCACTGCTATCTCTTTTCCACCTGTGAATAGTAATGTAAGATCTTAAATGATTTAGAACAAAGACCAAGGTTCCACCTCAAGCTTGAAACAAAGTTATAAAAATGTATTTTTCTTTATAACAGAGTATACATAAATTTACCTCAAATCAGTTGGTTTTATAAAATACTATCATTTTTTATTAGAAATATTCTATATTTAGCACTATTACAAACCAGGACAAATATCTATTTTACATAAAGGATACTGTATTCTCTGTAATGAAAATTCAGGATATAAAGTTTTTACTACTTATAGTAGTGTCAAAAAAATTTAAAAGCGGAACAGAATTTAAAGGAAGTATTGCAAAACTTTTTTTTTTACAAAAGTCCAAGGATCCTTATTAAAAATTATGGGTGGTGAAAAAGACCTGGTAATGTGTGCTTTTAACAGTTCACCCTGTTATCAGAAAAGCAGATTGTATGATAGTTTCAACTCGTGTTAAAAGCAGGGCTTCTCAATCTTTATACCCAACTTTAATACAGAAAAAAAATCACTCTACCCTTTAATTTAATTTTATATTTTGAATTGAATTGCATATTGTTTTGTAAAAAGTATCAAGGCAATGTTAATATCAAAAACCCTTTTTTTTGACCACAGTCTCTTTCCCAGAGATGTTCATAAATCTCTCCTTCCCCTTTTTTACCTTCACTCCCAATTTTAAGAATTGTTCTTACGGTCTTTTATGCAAAGACAAACATTTTGAACTTCTAACACCATTTCAAAAAAGAAAGTCTATGATCTAAACATCAATCTGCACGAGACCCCATGAAATACACTAGTTTGGATATAAGTTTCCAAATTTCTTTATATAGTAGTTGTCTGCCATATCTAACCCATAATTCCTCTCCTGAAAGAACTCATAGTCTAGCAGTGGAGCTAGACATGTATGTGAATAAAGTATAAGACAGGGTGACAGTATGATGAGTAAACAGAAATGAAAGAATAATTAGTATAAGAAAACAACATCTGTTTTATGATGCCAGACAAAGGAATAACATAAGGAACGAAGTCATAAAATAAAATAATGTGTTCAAGAAACAACATCTATGAGGTGTCTGGCACCAAGGGCATTATCGAGGGAAAAGATGGGAGATCACCTGAAGAAATAGGCAAAGGGTTTTTTTCATAGGATTCATCAAATTCATCTGCTTAGAGAGCCAGAGGAAATTCTTAACAATTTGTATTTTAGAAAGCTCACTCACTTTGACAAAAGCATGCAGACTGGTTTGGAGGGAAGCAAGACTGGAGGCAAGAAGACCAGCTAGAAGACTGTTACTATCATCCATGTAAAGGATGATGTGGACAGGACTGAAGGCAGAGACAGTGAGAATAGAGAGAGGACAGATTTTTATTTTTATTTTTAAAAAGCCATTTATATAAGGAAACTTCAAAAAGTTTGTGATAATGGAATTAAAAGATAAAAATAAAAAATATAAACTTTATTTCTCAACATAAGCTCCATCAAGCTTAGAACACTTTTTTGTAAGTGATGACACCAGCCATTTAGTCCATTCCTAAACAGCTGAGAGTCCTGAGAATTTAATCGTGTCAATGCAGCCTTTTTTACATCAGTAACAGAAGAAAAAATGGGTGCCTTTTTAAAGATTTTTTTTAAGAAAACAAAAAGTCAGAAGGAGCCAAATCAGGACTGTAAGGTGGATGCTTAGTGATTTCCCATCAAAACTCTCACAAAATTGCCCTTCTTTCATGAGAGGAATGAGCAGGAGCATTGTTGTGGTGGAGAATGACTGTCTGGTGAAGATTTCCCAGGCACTTTTATGCTAAAGCTTTGACTTTCTCAAACCACTCTCATAATCAGCAGATATTATTGTTCTTTGGCCCTCCAGAAAGTCAACAAGCAAATGCCTTGAGCATCCCCAAAAATTGATGCCATGACGTTTGCTCTTGACCAGTCTGCTTTTGCTTTGACTAGACCACTACTACCTCTTGGTAGCCATGGCTTTGATTGTGCTTTGTCTTCAGGATCCTACTAGTAAAGCCATGTGTCATCTCCTGCTACAATTCTTCAAAGAAATGCTTCCACTTGTTTAAAATTCCATTGAAAGTTCTGCTATTGTCTGAAGCTGATCTGGGTGAAATAGTTTTGACACCCACAGAGTGGAAAGTCTGCTCAATTTTAATTTTTCATTGAGAAGCGTATAAGCTGAACCAATTGAGATGTCTATGGTGTTGAGTATTGTATCTGCTGTTAATCATTGGTCCTCTTCAGTTAGGGCACAAACAAGATTAACTTTTTCCTTGCAAATTGATGTGGACGGTGCCGCTGTGGGCTTCATCTTCAACATCGTTTCATCCTTCTTAAGATGAGTTATCCGGGCTGGTCGGTTAGCTCACTTGGGAAAGCGTGGTGCTGGTAACACCAAGGTCACGGGTTCGGATCCCTGTACTGGCCAGCCACCCCCCGCCAAAAAAAAAAAAAAGAAAAAAAATGGGTTATCCATTTGCAAACTGTTGATATCTTTGGGTTACTGGCCCCATAAACTTTTTGTAAAGCATCAGTGATTTCACCCAGGCTTCACCATAAATTTGATGTTTGTTCAATTTTAGCAGAATTCACATTGCTCTGATAGGGACTCTTTTCAAAACCACATCTTATTCTCCTAAGTTCCTCAAACTAGATCCTGTTCAAACATATTATAACAAGTTAGTACGAGTTTATTTTGGTACAAAAAATTTTTGAAATCCATACATAGATCTTCATAAAAAGCATTTTCCATGAACTTTTTGAAGACCTCTCATACAGCACTTATTTTACAGTATTTATATAACACTTATAAACCTTTCTAAGTGCTATATACTATTCTAAGTGCTTTAATGTACTTATTCATTTAAGCCTCAAAACAGCCCTATAAAAATAGTTGTATTTTTATCTTTATTTTACAGATATGGAAAATGAGGCACAGAGAAGTTAGACAACTTGCCCAAGACTGCAGTGTTAATAAGGGAGTAAACCAAGACTTGAACACAGGCAAGCCGGTTTCAGAATCTGTTCTCTTAATCACTATACCATTCTACTTAAGTCAAACAAAGAGAATATTTATACTAACTAGTAGTTAAGAGAAGGGATATGAAGGTGAATGATGGCTCTGTTCACTCATAAATATCTACTGGCACCTACTACACATCACATGCAAGGAGCTGGGAAAACAAATACAGACTCTCTGCTCCTCATCTAGCCAGTCAGTCAGTCAGTCATGGCTAGGGAATAGGGATGAGAAACAGAACAGAGAGAGACGCTGCAGGGCACGAAGGCAGGGCCAGAGAGATGATGAGCAGCTTGCATATCATGTTTATGTTCTCAGATTTTATTCTGAAGGGACTCATTTAAGGATTTTAAGCAGAGTAGTTTCTTGCTATCTTCTTTATTAGTAATAAATATTTTATCACCAGATTTACAACAAAATTTCTTGATATAACAGAAGTAATGTACCATCTTAATTAATTAACCTTTACTGAATATCAATGATATTCCTATGCCCTACTGGTATTCCCTCCCCTCTTCTGATGGTACACAGCCTCCTGTCTTTAACCAAAACTGAAAAGAAAATGATACTGTCACTAATTATTTGACCTGAGTTTATTCACAATAATATATTAACACTTCCCACCTCATGTTGACTTTAAAGGATTTAAAGGAACTTCAAATAACTGTAACTGGGAAATTTCTAGGAGAGTTACTTGGAAATCTGAAAATTTAGCACTTGCCTGGAGATTCTGAACAGGAATGTTTGTGAAATTCTGTACTATACAAAGCTGTTTTGAATCATGAAGTACTTGAAAGGGGGATGGAATCTTTGCTTTAAAAGTACTTAGGTGATTCTTACAAATATTTATTAGAAAAATACTGGTGTAAAGGAAAAGGCACAATATTTACAGCCACATACCCCTGATTCAAATTTCAGATCTACAGGATTTAGGCAAGTCACTTAACCCCAATGAGTCTCCATTTCCAAATCTATAAAATAGATATATTAACACCTATTCATAAAGGGGTTTTTGTGAGAAACAAGTGTTAATAATAGTACCTAGCAGAATGCCTAGAGAAAAGTGATATTTTTTAATAATTCATTTAAGTCTTGTGGATTCTTCTTTCAATATTTTTCATTCTTCTCTTCCATCCATTTCTACTGCCACTCATCAATTGAGAGGAACTCATCAATTAATATATGTGTTATTGAGATGACAAAGAACTTCAACTAAAGAGAAAAGCTGAAAGCTAGACACTGCCACCTGTGGGCTCTTCTACAGCCTGGGACTATCCATCTGTAAGCCTTCCATTCTCTTATCCATATGACAGAGTTAAGCTCGAAAAGTCTACCATTTCAAAACAACTTGACACACAATCACCACATATATGCTCCCTGCCACTATTTGGTCCACAATAGATAAAGATAAGCTAATTAGATGCTAACTTTCAAGTCCCTGGCTTCATTTTTCTGATTCTTGTCCCCTTATTAGCATTACACTCCTTCTTCGAATGTTTCACACCTTCCTGTTTTTAGTCAGCCTCACCACAATTGGAAAGGTAATGCCATTAATATTTTTTACTTAAGGTCACTCATAAGAATATATTAACTCTTCCCATCTCATTTAAACCATAAAGGTGCTAAGAAAATTGTAGATGGGTAGATAGGTAGATAAGTTAGTAGGTAGGTGGATGGGCGGGTGGATGGATGAATAGATGGAAGATGAAATTTGGGATGGGGTAATAAGAGGCCAAGTAAGAGAATATGACAGGGGAAATAAGAGGCCAAGTAAGAGAATATGACAGGGTAAGTACTGGTGCCTCTTCCAGTAACTTGAAAATAAGGTAAATAAGCGCCTTCCTAGAAATTAAACTATCAAATCATTATTATATCTCATATCAGAGAAAAACAAAGTCTCCTTGAAGAAAGGAAGGTCCCAAAATACCAAAACTAAAAAAGTAACAATATTGAGGGTATTTGCATTATTTAAAGAAGGAAAGTGACAATTCCACGTGCGGAAGGAGTTCATCAGTGAAGAAAGCTTAAAAGTAAATAAATAAATAAAAATATTCTAATTCATACTTACAAGGGACCTTCTGAATATGATTTGGCTTACCAAATAGGTCTGCCTCAGAAGAATGCCTTTCACCTATTCTGAAACCTTCAATGACTCCAGCTGATACTCCTTAACTTTGGCATTTAATATTTTCCACAATAGAGGATGGCCAATTAGCTCAGTTGGTTAGAGTGCAGCCTAATAGCACCAAGATCACAGGTTCAGATCCTCATACCAGCCAGCAGCCAAAAAAACCCAACATTTTGGCTGGCTGATTAGTTCAGTTGGTTACAACCAGCCTTGTAACACCACATGAATGGGCTGGCTGGTCAGCTCAGTTGGTTAGAGCACAACCTTGTAACACTGAAGTCAAGGGTTCAGATCCCCATACCAGCCAGCCACAAAAAAAGAAAAAAATACTAAGATACTCAGTTGGTTAGAGTGCGGCATTGTCACAATAGAATTGCATGAAAATTAATTTTTAAGTTTTATTTAACACCCACTCTTCTCCTATAAGAATCTTTTATTTCAATCAAGCTGATCTTCTCATTGTCCCTCAATACTCAAATATATATATATATACTACAAATCTTTTTCCTTACGCCTCCTCCTATCTCCTACCCAAGATTCAAGTTCAGCTCATATCTACCTCCTTCATAATGCCTTCTTGGATCCCCCAGTTTACCATGGTCATGCCCCACAACAAATCTTCTAAAGCATCTTGTATCACCCGTATTACTTGATCACATCTGACATGTTTTCTTATTTTATATTTTCCATCTTGCAAATGAAACCATAGCTTTTTAATGACAGGGAACCAAAACTTAGGATACTTATACTTTTTATATTATCTAAAATGCCTACTCAATGCTGAGAACAAAGAGACGCTCAATAAATATCTGGTGAATTAACTTTGTTTAGATTAATGCCTAACCTACATATACAACATAAAACGACAGCTTTACACTTAAATCACATTACTATAATTTTATATACAGACCCTTTAAAACACAGATTATATATATAATGTGTGTGTAAAAATATACATGTATATGTGCAAATGTATGTATATATTCATGTGTGTATATATAAACACATAGGTATACATATATACATACATATATGCATGTAAGTATATATGTACACACATAGTTACAGTCTGTATTTTTCTGATCACTTAGCTCTTTGCTACTAAAATGTTTTGTTTCTTACCTAGTTATGATGGGATCTGCAGCATGATTTGGGCCCCATCGTCCCAAAAGCCCCCGACCAACCAGTCCTGTTCGTCCGGCAGGATTTCTGGGGAAAAAACCATAAAATCAATTGAATGTGTTCATCTTTTTAAAACTGACTTGATACAGCCCAAAAGAATGTAATATGAGCAATAAGAAGGATATAATATTTCCTCACAGATCCAGTGGCACTAGCATATATCTGACACCAAAATCACATATTTCATTATACTATTACCTAATTTTTCTTTTGTGCATGTCTTAAGCTTTGAGTTTGATCCAGGAATAGGTGTGGGTATGCTGAAGATAAACTGTTGTAAACATAGATGACTAGGATCAGAGCATTTTAAGAGTCCCATAAATTCTAGTTTTAATTTAGGAGTATAGGTGAAATTTTTATATTGTAGAACCACTTTGGAAATTTCACTTTTTGCTCAGGCAAACTAGTATTGATTTGTTAGTCAAAGAGTCTTGACTAAAATAACAATCTATCATGATTTTGCTGCCTATCTTTTTATATATGCATATGTCCTCTCATATATTTTACCCAGAAAAGAAACTAAGGAATAAGTCAAATGCAAAGAGAGTTTGATTTGAAAAGTCTGAATAACACAGAAAGGTGAATAAGTTATGACCAAAAAAAGAATTTAGCAAAACTGAAGGACTAGTTTGGGGTAGGAGTAGCACCATCATTTCTTTGTCTTTTAGAGGAACTAAGAAGAATATAAATTATAATATTTTTATAAGAGAGAACCATGATTACAAATCTGTGATCCCTCTTCTTTTATTTGGGGCATGCTAATTTTTACATTTCTTCCTAACTTTTATAATGTCTTCTTAAGGAAAATGGATAGTTTTGGAGTTATGCAGAAAAATTATTTTTAAAAGTACAGCAAGAACCTTGATATTAAATCACTGGATTATTTTTATTTTTACTCTTACATGTTTGGATAAATTCTTTCTTTAAAGCATTATCTCATTTAATAAATACCTACAGAACATACAATTTTCAATCCTTTCTGTGTTAATTTACTCAATTAATTATTTCTACGTTAAAGATGGAGTTACAAAAAGATGCATTCAAATCCTGCCTCTGCCACTTACTAGCTGTAGGCAAATTGTTTACACTCTTTATCTGTAAAATGGAACTAAAAATGTCCACTCACAAGATTATTGTGAAGATTTAATTAGATCACATACATAAATCTTTTTTTTTACAATGTCTGGCACATACAAGCCTTCAAAGGATGTTAATTATCTTTCTACCCATTATTGTAAGATGCTCCATTCTCAACACCTACCTCGGTCTTCCATTTTCAATCTCGTACAGGCCATTCTGGCTTTTTCTCTCAACATGCCCATCCTTTTCATTAAACTTGGGATAAAAGTTACTTTCACTGTAATAAGAATACCAATGCAAAATAAGAAATAATGATTAAATACTACAACAGCTTAATAATGCAAGTCAATCTGTTATTCATAATAAGCAGCTCCTGAAATGGTAAGTATTTTAAGAGTTAGTTTTCATTTACAAATCCATCTTATTTCTTCAAAACAGTTTGTAAGAAAAAAATCTTTTTTTTAACCAAAACGCCTTACAATGCAAGGATGTATATTATTATTATACTTATTAACCCCTCTGTGAAGGACTACTGGCAGAAGAATTGAAGTTCCTCCCACATAACAAAATCTGCATTACTACTAGCAAGGAAGAATTGTATGTGACACTATAGGCACATTAGGGCAATCACTGTTTCCCATGTGATCCTCAAAATAAGATTCCTTCTGATATCTTGATGTTTCTACTGTTTGAAAGTAACTTTAATTTCTTCAGATATACTCTGATTAATATTTTTACCAAAGTAAACCCACAAAAGAGTGAACTCATCCCAGAAACTACATAATAAATATGATGTAGATAAAAAATAGACGTAATATACTGGAAATGTTCTAGATATTGATCTGGGTGGTGGTTACAGAGCTCTATAAACTTAAAATTTTACTGAACTGCATTTGCACACTTAAGAAATGTGCACTTTACTGCATTTGTATCACACCTTGACAAAAATATTTTTTAAACAGATACAATATAGCTAAACTACTTTCCTCAGCATTATAAAATCACTGACTTAATTGCACTGACAGTACATAAAGAGTTGTGTAGCACTGAATAGAAATATCTGTGGTCTGTTCTGGGAATAATTTCCAATTTGAATGATCCAGACATTCACTCAAGACTTCTAATGAATCTGCCATCTAAACACTAATAAAAAGAATTAAATAATAAAAACCATGAAATTATAAAGCTAGAGTTACAATGTTCTCAGTGCCCTAGAAATGCACCACTTAAAAAAAAAAAGCATGAATCTAGCTATAACTGAAGCATTAAATATAGTAAAAAACTTGATTTAGATAGTGATATAAATTCAACTCAAAAAATAAATTGAGGGTAAAAAAAAAAGCATGAATCTAGCTATAACTGAAGCATTAATATAGTAAAAAACTTGATTTAGATAGTGATATAAATTCAACTCAAAAAATAAATTGAGGGCCGGCCCGGTGGCGCACTGGATAAGTGCACCGCTTGGGAAGCGCGGCGGCGCTCCCGCCCGAGGGTTCGGATCCCACATACAGACCGTTGCCGGTCCCCGGTCCGGTACGGGGGCAACACTGAGGGTTGCGATCCGTTGCCGGACACGGAAAAAGACAAAAGACAAAAAAAAAATAAAAATAAAAAATAAATTGAAAGAAAAATAAGAAAATTTATACAATCTTCCTCTATTTATACTACATAGTACTCCTGCCAACATCACTAATTTTAATTGTGCATAATCTGTATGTATAATGTATATATAAATATGTACATCCTCTAAAATGGGGGAAATGGAGCTCATCTAAAGCTAATAATTTCTCCACAGGTTATCACCATGACTAGTTAAAAACCCAAGTACTATCACAAAGTTACAAACACATCTTTGGATAAAAAAGAGAAAACCATGGGTCAAAATCAAATTGCAGCAATAAATCCATGGAGAAGTTTAGCAACTTAATGAACTAATCAATACCGGATATATCTAATTAGCAAAATTTATTACTTAACTGACTAAATAATGCCTTGAGAGGACTATCATTTACAATAAACTTACCCATTAAATCGAACTTATAAAGCTGTTCTAAACCTAGGGTGGTAGTCTAGCAGAGTGGTTAAGAGAATGATTTCTGACGTCAGACTGAGTTCAAATCTGAGCTATACCACCTACTAGCTCTGTGACCATAAGCAAAGAACAAACTTTCTGTGCTTCCATTTTTTTGTTGTTGCTGTTTCTGTAAAGTAGAGACAACAACTATATCTGCCTCCCAGATGGGTTATTAGAATAAAATAAAATAATGCTTATAAAAAGCATTTAGCACAGTGCCTACCTCATGATTAATACATAAAACACCTCTATCATTATATTATTAAAAGGAATATAAAATGATGGAGGAAATGGGAAGATGTTGGTCAAAGGGTACAAAGGTTCAGTTATTCAGGACAAATAAGTTCTAGAGATCTAATCCACAGTTTGTGACTATAGCTAGTAATACTGTATCATACACTTGAAACTTGCTGAGGATAGATCTCAAACATTCTCACCACCAAAAACAAAAAAGAAGGTAACTATACAAGGTGAAGGATGTGTTCATTGGCTTGATTGTGGTATTCCCTCCATAATGTATACATATATCAAAACATCATGTTATATGCCTTAAATATATACAATTTTTATTTGTCATTTATATCTACATAAAGCTGGAAAAACAATAAAAGGAACATAAAATGTGCATCAATGCGGCACTTCTATGAATTTAGTCAAAGCATTTTTGCTTTTGTTTTTTTTTCCCCCTTTCTCTCTCTCTCTCCCCTTCATCTGTCCCTTTTCTATTTCTTAACATTGGTCTAGTTTTATCATCATTCTGTTCTTAGTAATCCAGAAAAAATTTCTGAAAAATATCTTCACTACTTCAAATACAAGTCTAGATATGTTTGAAAATAACCACAAAAGATGTTCTATTGATAACCCAAATAGAATACATGAAAACAGATACCACCCAGCAGTTATTTCATAACAAACAGCTATTATTTCAAATCAAAATAGATTTTCCTATTTGGAAGGATCTTCATAAACCCCCCCGCAAAATAAGTAAATATGAACTGCTTAGCTTTGGCAAAAACTCAAGCAAATGTAGAAAATGAGTTATAACAAAGTCAAGTATAGACAAAAATGATTTTTCAGGTGTCAAAATGACAATTTACAAATACAACCATTACTTTCTTTAAAAGTCTTACTCCCAGCTAATGCCGGCTTATTTGCTCACCTGATCTGAGGATCTGCCCACCTGGGTCCAGCCAAGACAGAGACTGCAGTGTATTCCACAGGGTTATAGTCTTGCCACTCAACAAGCCAGCCCACTTTCTCATTAGGAACCTGGCTTCGTTCAACTTTGGAACCTGGGTAAGGAGATGTCCGAGCCTTGTTGTGGGAATTCTCTTTGGCACCATTAGAACCAGACATGATGTGGGAATTGAGATGAAACCAACAAAATGAAAATGAGTTTCTGGGGAGGAAAAGATGGAAAAACATTTTACATAAATAACAAAATTTATTAAAGAATCTAATTCAAAAACCCAAAAACATACTTTTCAATTTCAAAAACTTTTAAAAATCAGAAAATTGAAATTTGATACATATTAGTATAAAGGTCCAACATCTGTAAGAGATTACTCTCAAATATGAAATTTTTTTAAATATAGCTAAATCTTATTAATTAGAGCCTACACACCAAATTTATTTTAGTTGAGAAAAAAGGACCTGAAATTACTTTTGTGTTATCTACTGGGGTGAGCAGAAGTTTGTTATGAAAACTCAACCATAAAAACAAATGTAAAAGAAAACTGTTTAAGTCTATGTGAAGGAATACATTTTTTAAAAACCATCTATAGGGCCGGCCCGGTGGCGCACTGGATAGTGCGCTGCTTGGGAAGCGCGGCAGCGCTCCCGTCCGAGGGTTCGGATCCCACGTACAGACCGGCTCCCGCTCACTGGCTGAGCGAGGCGCGGGAGCAACGCCGAGGCTTGCGATCCCGTCGCCGGTCCCCAGTCCGATACGGGGGCAACACTGAGGGTTGCAATCCGTTGCCGGACACGGAAAAAAGACAAAAAAAAAAAAAACCATCTATAGTCTAACACACATGTAAAATGTATGGCAAAAATAGCACAAAAGAAGAAAAAGGGGAAAATGGAAATTTACTGCTGTAATGTTCTTACACTGAATATGCAGTAATATTATTTGAAGGTATACTGTAATCGATATACAAATTATAAACTTTAGAGCAAAATTTAAATAAAATAAAAAGGCATGAAATAATTGGAAAGCACAAGCAAAAAAAAAAAAACACCAAAACTTCATCCTAACCTCAAAACATAAACAAAAATTTTTCATGTCTCCTCTTTCCTAAAAACTTAAATGGCTTCTCATTATTCTTAAAATAAAAATACAAATTCCCACTGACCCTAAATTAAAACATCTAAAGTAGAAAAGTGGATTTTGAGAACATGGCAAACTGATGACAGCATCTTTCCCCTGCTCTCACAATACCAATTTGCCCTTCTTGAGATAAATGGTTTATGGGGCAAACACCAACTTGACCAGCTGGTAAAATAAGTCAACATCATGTGCCTCCGATATGATACACTGAGAAGTACACAACAATAAATTCTGTGGTATTCCTGACAAGAATATACAACCTGAATCTGGACATGAGTAAATATAAAACAGATCCAGGTTAAGGGACATCTTACAGAATAAAGGGCTATACTCTTTACTTTGGTAAGGTCATAAAAGATAGAGGAACACTTCCACATAGACAGAGACCAAAGAGACATGAAAACTAAATTCAACCAATGATCCTACACTGGTTCCTGAACCATAAAAGAAAAAAATAGACATTGTAGGACAGGTGGTGAAGTCTGAATGGGATCGTGTAAGTAATTTTAAAAGGTGATTTTTTAAATAAAAAAATCTATTTACTCCCAAAAAAGAAAAGGCCAGGACCAGATGGCTTCACTGGTGAATTCTACCAAACATTTCAAGAAGAATTAACACTAATCCTCCTCAAACTCTTCAAAAAAATTGAAGAGGAGGGAATACTTACAAACTCATTCTATGAGGTCAGCATTATCCTGATATCAAAGCTAGACAAAGACACTACAAGAAAACTACAAACCAGTATCCCTGATGAATACTGATGCAAAAATCCTCAGCAAAATACTAACAAGCACAATTCAACAGCACATAAAAAGAATTATACACCATGACCACATGGGACTTAATTCTAGAGTGCAAGGATGGTTCTGCATACAAAAATCAATGTATTAGCCAGATTAACAGAATGAAGAAAAAACCACATGATCATCTTAATTGATGCAGAAAAATTCTTTCACAAAATTCAATACCCTTTCATGATAAAAATATTTAACAAAATAGGAATAGAAGGAAACTATCTCAATATAGTAAAGGCCATATATGAAAAGGATACAGCTAATGGTATGGTATTGAAAGACTGAAAGCTTTTCCTCTAAGACCAGGATGTCCACTTTCACCACCCTTATTCAACACAGTACTGGAAGTCCTAGGCAGAGCAAAAAAAAAGAAATAAAAGGCATCCAAACTGGAAAGGAAGAAGTAAAATTACCTCTATTTGCAGATCGTATGATCTTTTATGTAGAAAACCCAAAAAATTCCATGAAAAAATTGTTAGAATAAATTCAACAAAGTTGCAGGATATGAGACCAACACACAAAAATAGTTACACTTAAAAACACTAACTATGAACAATCCAAAAAGAAAATTAAGAAAACAATTGCACTTACAATAGAACACACACACAAAAATAAAATACTTAGCAACAAACTTAACCAAGGAGACAGAACTCTGTACACTGAACACTACAAAATACTGCTGAAAGAAATTAAAGAACATGCCAGCAAATGAAAAGACATCCCATGTTCACTGACTGGAAGATTTAATATTGTTGAGATGTCAATGCTAACCAAAGTGATTTACAGATTCAGTGCAATCCCTATCAAAATCCCAACGATGTTTTTTCCAGACACAGAAAAGTCCAACCTAATATTCATATGAAATCTCAAGGGACTCCAAATAACCAAAGTAAGCTTGAGGCCTGACTCGATCCCCAGCCCCACCAAGTGCGCGCTGACCAGAGAGGCACCAAGATCTGCAGAGACCACGCACCCTGTGGTGCCAGCGCGTGGCCCAGCAGGTGGGCCTCACTGCCACCGCCCAACTCCATTCCCAGCCCCGCCGAGTGCATGAGTGCATGCCAGTCAGGGAGACACCCAGCCAGAGACGCCCAAGATCCTGAGACTGCGAGACCTGTAGTGCCAGAGCGCAACCCAACTCGTAAGCCTCTTTGCCACCGCCTGACTCCATCCTCAACCCCACTGAGTGCGCACCAGAGAGGTGCCAAGATCTGCAGGGACCATGCGCCTGGTGGTGCTGGAGCGTGACCCAGGAGGTAGACTTCGCAGCTGCCGCCCAACACCATCCCCAGCCCCGCCGAGTGCGTGCCAATCAGAGAGGTGCCCAGCTGGAGAAGCCCAAGATCTGAGGAGACCACAAGCCCTGCGGTACCACCGTGCGACCCAGCAGGTGGGCCTCACCGCCACCACCCGACTCCATCCCCAGCCCTGCCAAGTGTGCACTGATCAGAGAGGCACCCACCTAGAGAGGCCCATGATCCCAGAGACTACGCACCCTGTGGTGCGAGCACACAACCCAGCAAGTAGGCCTTGCCACCACACCCCGAAACCATCCCCAGCCGGGTTGAGTGCGAGCTGACTAGAGAGGCGCCTCCCCTGAGAGGCCCAAGATCTGAGGTGACCACGCACCCGAGGTACCAGTGGGCAACCAAGCAGACACTGAAGCAGCCATCCCAAATAGGCAGCCCCAGAAGCATCCTAGCAAGACAACAGTGTCAAAACCAGTGGACTGTGAAATGCCCTGCCACAATGACTAAACAACAAAGGAAAGATACCAGAAATATGAAAAAATCAAGAAAGTACACCACCAAAGGGTAATAACTCTCAAGATCTAGATCCTATAGAATAAGAATCCCTTCAAATGTCTGACAAGGAATTTCGAGTGATAATTCTAAAGGAACTGAATGAGATACTAGAAAACTTAGCTAGACAACAGGATGAAATGAGGCAAAGTATACAGGACCTGAAAGAAGAAATGTACAAGGAAATTAATACCCTGAAAAAGAATGTAGCAGAGCTTGCTGAGCTGAAGAATTCATTAAACAAAATAAAAAACACAACAGAGCATTTAACCAAGAGGCTTGCAGAAACAGAAGAGAGAACTTCTGACCTTGAAGATGGGCTGTTAGAAATAACATAGGCAGACAAAAAAAAAAAAAGAAAAAAGAATTTAAAACATTGAAGAAAATCTAAGAGAGATATCAGACACCCTTAAGCGCTCAAATATCCAAGTCATGGGTATTCCAGAAGGGGAGGAAAAAGGAGATTGCATTGAAAACATATTCAACAAAATAGTGGCAGAAAACTTCCCAGGTATAGGGAAAGACACACATCTTCAGATTCAGGAAGCTCAAAGATCCCCAGACATATTCAACCCCAAAAGGTCTTCTGCAAGACATGTTATAGTCAAATTGGCAAAACTCAAAGACAAAGGGAGAATCTTAAAAGCTACAAGGAAATCAATGCCCTGAAAAAGAATGTACCAGAATTTGCTGAGCTGAAGAATTCATTCAACAAAATAAAAAACACAACAGAGAGTTTAACCAGCAGGCTCGCAGAAGTAGAAGAGAGAACTTCTGACCTTGAAGATGGGCTGTTTGAAATAACACAGGCAGACAAAAAGAAAAAAAAGAAAAAAGATTTAAAAACATTGAAGAAAATCTAAGAGAGATATCAGACAACCTGAAGCACTCAAATATCTGAGTCATGGGTATTCCAGAAGGAGAGGAAAAGGAGATTGCATGGAAAACATATTTAACAAAATAGCGGGAGAAAACTTCCCAGGTATAGGAAAAGACACAGATCTTAAGATTCAGGAAGCTCCAAGATCCCAGACTGTATTCAACTCAAAAAGGTCTTCTCTTAGACATATTATAGTCAAATTGGCAAAACTCAAAGACAAAGAGAGAATCTTAAAAGCTGCAAGAGAGAAGCATCAAATCACCTATAAGGGAGCCCCAATCAGACTAACATCAGACTTTTCATCACAAACCCTAAAAGCCAGAAAGGAATGGGATGATATATCCAAAATACTAAAATACAGAGACTGCCAGCCAAAAATACTCTACCCCATAAGGCTAGCCATCAGAAGTGAAGGGCAAATAGTATATTTCTCAGAAAAACCAAAACTGCAGAACTTCACCACAACACGACCACCCTTACAAGAAATTCTCAAGAGAGTACTGGGATTGGTACCTGAAAAATAAGTACCACTGCCATAAAAACTCAAGAAAAGTCGAAATCAACTACAAAATAAAAATTCCAACAATAAAG